CCATCAAAGTAGCTTCTTTTGCAACAGACAGAGATTATTAGTTACACCACTGGTCACACACAGAGATTTTCTGTGGATTGCCCAAGCCTAAGTGGCATGACCAATTGGAAATAGTCCTACAGGTGCCTGGGACCCTTTTCATACAAATCTACAACAATGGTGTCAGCATGCACAAGACCCATGCAAACAAGCAAACAAAAACTCAGCACAGATATGGAAATGAACAACAGACCCCAATCTTAGTTGAAGAATTATTGGCAGCTGATTACTGCTGAGTAAGGAAGAGTTGATCTTCTTGAAGGGAGAAACTCTAGATAGGCTGACTAAACCCTGGTGGATGAATTTGCACTGAGGGACATCTGGGGATACTAACTTTAAATAATAGGTCTTAATACAAATGACAGAATGTAGCTGGGAGTGGTTGTGGTGGCACACGCCTTTAATCCCAGCACTTGGGAGGCAGAGGCAGCCAGATCTCTGTGAGTTCAAGGCCGGCCTGGACTACATAGTGAGTTCCAGGCCAGTTGGGGCTACAGGGAGACCCTGTCTCAAAAAGACCAAAAGAAAAATGACAAAATGTATGAACCCCAGTGGGGGTCAATGGGAAGGGTGCCAAAGGGGAAGAGGGAAGGTGATTTAATGTAAAAAATACACAAAAATTCTATTTTAATCAAAAGAAGATATTAAAAAATTTTTTTTTGTTAAAATCTTGTTATGTAGTCCAAGTCGGCTTTGGTCTTACAGCAATCCTCCAGCCTCAACACCATGTGCTGTTATTACAGGGGTATGTCACCATGCTCAGCAAGTCAGCAATTTAAGCACAAATTCATGATAATTTCTTATGGTTGTTCTAAGAAAACTAGCACAGAAAAACAAAAAATAAAATAAAGCAAAAAAAATTCGTCTCCTCATCCCACCCACACCAGCACACCAAACGTCAAGACTTGAATTCCATATTTAGAAAAGTTGTAATGAGGCCTGTAAAAAAACAAAACGGCTGTGGTGGCACACACCTTTGATCCCAGCACCTGCTACACAAAGCACGTTCCAAGCCAGCCAGGGCTACATAATGAGACCTTCTCAGAAACACTCCTACAAAAAAAAAAAAAAAGCC